TTTAATCACCCTGTATATATTTATGTAAAACTTTTAATTATCGAAACGATTGCGTTATATTTTTCGGATCGCTTAGAGTTAAAAAAGCTGTTATTTCCGTTTGGATATACGAGGGATATTCAAAATTCCAAGCAAATTAATATAAATCGCATTTCTCTGTTATTGATGTAGTTTTTTTGTAATGTTGGCGTAAAAAATTAAAATGTAAAGTAGGTTTATTAAAACTAAAAGTAATTATAAAACATATTTGTTAATCTATTCAATTCTATTCTGATTTAGACTGATGAACCATATCATATTTTTATATATATATATTTTTTTAAATATAATTTGACTGTTTCTTAATTCGCTACATGTCTAAATTAGTTGTAGCTGTACCACATTTTTTTTAAATAGTAAAATGTCAATTATACTTTTGGTCAATTGAAATAAATAAAAATCTATTAAGTACCAATAACAGAGAAAATTTTAATAATATTTCGTTCCTTTCATCATGTATATGTATATGTATATTTTTCTATTTATTTATGCAATGCTGAACCTGTCTTATAAATTAAAAAAAATTTTTCATTTGCAAAACTGGCCAAAATGTTTAATCTATTATGCAAGAAGAAATACTGCAGATATCCTAAAATTGCAACATTAGTTAAAAACGTAACATACAAGCCTAGCCGACAATGGGGGGAGCAAAACGGACAGTTGCTCTCTCTCTCTCACACTCCTCCCCCATTCCCCATTCCCCATTCCCCATTCCCCATTCCCCATTCCCCATTCCCCATTCCCCATTCCCCATTCCCCATTCCCCATTCCCCATTCCCCATTCCCCATTCCCCATTCCCCATTCCCCATTCCCCATTCCCCATTCCCCATTCCCCATTCCCCATTCCCCATTCCCCATTCCCCATTCCCCATTCCCCATTCCCCATTCCCAATTCTCCATTCCCCACCCCATTCTCCAATTCTCGTTCCCCGTCCCCTTTCCTAATCTCCATCCCCTTCCCTGTCCATTTCTTTCCCTCATTTTTAAAAAAATAATGGTCGTAATTGAAATATTGTATGACACTCGTATGTGAAATACGTTTTATACATGTATGTCTTAAATATTTAATATCCACAGGGTAAAACAAGAAATTTACATTGTAGAAATTAATTTTGGTCAGTTTTAGCATTCTTCGACTAAAAATTATTACAAATATTTAAGAACTGAACAAGAACAACCATATTGTATCTCATTAAAAAATATGTACTTATGTAATTAAATGGTATAGAAATATTATTGATACAATGTTATTTTTTTTTTTGAAATTTTTTTGATATATTGCAAGTTGGTTGCAGTAAATGTTCATTAAAATTTAGTAGTCTGAGGTACTGTGAAGTTCATATCATTCAGACGTATCAAAAATGCCGGTGGACTTTCTTGCAACCAGCTATATGTCTATTAGATGTTTAAATATTAAGCCGTATGTAAAAAATTATTTCATATTTGATTTTAAATATCACAAATAAATCCTTAAAACCTTCTCAATTGGATTTTATTTCATCTTTAGATTAGAGCATAGATTCCCACCTTGTAGTGGGCGCTGGAGAGTTCGTTGGGGGCAGCAGTGAATTCAGAAACAAATGGGGGACGTGAAGGAAATCAAAAGTGATGGCTATAGCGTACCTACCTTATCAACACCAAAATACAAGGTGTCAATTTATAAATTGACATATTTTAACTCATAACGTTATATTTTTTCGGAAATTTCCAGAACAAATGTACATGTGGCAACAATGTCAACAAAAACAAAGTATATTATTTACGAAGTCTAGTGAAAACTGCATGTCGATCATAGAGGTAACATCTACGAGAAATTACTACTAATTGAAGCAATCTAGCGCATTTTGTCTAGTACCTGTCACCAATTTTGTCAAAATTGGTGAGAGTAAAGTACTCCTTGGAGGAAATCGGGGGGCAAATGGATTCACCTAGCAAAAAGGTATCGATTTTGTCAAAATTGACAGGAGTAAAGTACCCCTTGGAGACAATCGGGACAAAAATGGTTTTACCTAGCAAAAAGGTAATGTAATAAATATTATGTGTGCAAAGTTAAGGCAATCTAGCGCGTTTTTTCTAGTACTAGGCACTAATTTAGTCAAAATTGATTAGAGCAAAGTACCTCTGGGATGCGATATAGCGGCAAAAATGGTTTCTTCTGGCAAAAAGGTAATGATATAGTACAGGGTTGGGCATAATTGGCGGAACACCCGATTTGTGGCTCAATTATGGATTGTATTGAAAATTAACCCAAATAAAGTTTTTTGTATATTTTATGTACTATTTAATGACGCTTGGGGATTTACATTATCTGTCATATTTATCAAGATATGACGTCATCGGATGAAATTTTAAATGAATCACCCTATATTTATATTTTTTTTCAGATAGATCTTTTCTTTCTGAATCCATTAATGTAAGGTTTGAGGGTCTCCGAGTTCATAACAAAATAGAAAGTAAACATTTATTTAATAAAAAATAATAATTATTATCAATCGAAGTATTACAAATCTCTCAAAGTAAGTGTTCGAAGTGAAAGCCTCCAACTGCCTGACAATATCCTAGTCTATCAACAAATGATCTTAAGGCATTTTGATAAACTTCAGGTGTTATTTCTTGAACTGCAATTCTTATTTTGTATTCCAATTCTTCCAGCGAATGTGGCAGGTCCTTATAAACTACTGATTTCAAATGGCCCCAAAGAAAAAAATTCAGTGGGGTTAAATCCGGTGACCGTGCCGGCCACTCAATATGTCCTCTTCGACCCACCCATCTCTGTGGAAATATTGTGTTCAGGTACTGCCTCACTCTAGCATCGAAATGAGGTGGAGCACCATCTTGCTGGAACCAAATTTCATCAGAAAGTTGTAAGTGATTTCTGTGATTTGGATATAAACGAACTAACTCTGGAACTATCTGCTCTTGAAGTAGTTGCAAATAACGATCACCGTTCAGAGTTCCTCTCATGAAGAATGGTCCAATAATTCTTCCTCTAACTATACCAGCCCAAACATTTAACTTTTGTGGATATTGGGTGTGACCTTCTTCCATCCAGTGAGGATTATGATCAGACCAATACCGGCAATAATGTTTATTTACAAATCCATTGAGACAAAATGTTGATTCGTCGGAAAAAACAATGCTGTTCATCAACATATTATTTCCATTAATGGCATCCATCATTACCTGGCAGAATTGCATTCGCCTATCTGGGTCATCTTCATTCAATTCCTGGTGTAATTGCACTTTATAGAGATGAAATTTATTGACTTTCAGAATCCTCCTTACAGATCTCTCGCTCATATTATTGTCTAACGCAAGCTTTGGAACTGAAGTTTTTGGTTCTTCCTGTACACTTAGAACCACATTAAGTGCATTTTCTTCATCAGTGGCTGTCTTCTTCCGTCCAGATCTGGGATTATTTTTCACACTTCCTGTTTCATTAAACTTGCTCAAATTTCTGGATACTGTAGATTTAGAAATCGGGGAAATCCTGTCAGGAAATGTTTCATTGAACAAATTACAAGCTTCTTGCAGAGATCTCTTTCTGTCTCCAAACCCAATAATCATCAATAGTGTAATTCTTTCACGTTCACTCAGTTCAACCATGGTTTAAATTAATAAAAATTCTCAATAGTATCAAATGCTAAGAGTTATTTATTTTCGCGTATTGGGCTAGTTTGGGTGAAATGAATTGACTTGCAATTAAACTCAACTTGTTTGATTGTCTCCATAAACCAGAATGAATTAAAATCTACAGATTAATAAAAGGTGACAATAGTTTTTATAATATTATAAAAACCAAGTAAACAGTAACACAAAAACATTGGTAGGTATTTCTGTCAGAGATGTACAATAATCGTATTAATAAAACTCAGTGATTAATATCGAGATGTCAATATTACATTTTAATGTCAAAAAGTGAAACCATGGCAAAACAATTGATATTGGTACATTATGATGGCACAGACAACTTTGTGAATAGTTATTCATTAATTATTTAAAAGAACGTTTACCATTTTGTTTTATTATTTTCTGATGATAAGGAAAATCAGAGACCACCCGAACCCCATATTGATGGATTCAGAAAGAAAATATCTATCTGAAAAAAAATATAAATATAGGGTGATTCATTTAAAATTTCATCCGATGACGTCATATCTTGATAAATATGACAGATAATGAAAATCCCCAAGCGTCATTAAATAGTACATAAAATATACAAAAAACTTTATTTGGGTTAATTTTCAATACAATCCATAATTGAGCCACAAATCGGGTGTTCCGCCAATTATGCCCAACCCTGTATGTATATCGTGTACGAAATCTCAGCAGTTTACCGCTTTTTTTCTAGTTTCTTGCACTAATTTTGTCAAAATTGACTGGAATAAAATACCCCTTGAAGGAGATGGGGTAAATGGTTTTACCCAGCAAAAAGGTAATGATATGTGTATTACGTGTACGAAATAAAACAATAATGGATTTTTTTCACTGTTTTGAATTAGGATATTTTAAATTTTTAATTGTGTTGGATATAAGTAAATCATCCTAGCAATAAAGATTTTTTCATAATTAAGATATGGATAAACATGGTCTACAAAGTCAGTAAAATTTTGGTGCTAACTGAATTTAATTAAACCAAAAAAAAAACATAGTAAGAGTTTTTTTATTTTTATTATTCACTTTTACGAAGTAAAACAGTAAAACGGAAATTAATAAAAACGAATTACTGCCCCATTTAATTCCGAAACAATTATTACTTTAGATATGATCTGAAATCTAATTCAAATTACATAAAAATCGGCCCAACAAAAACAACGGCTTTTTTTAAATGCCATCGCGATATGCCAAACGGAAATGAGATGAATAAAGATCATTATTATTATTGTACTCGTATTACGAATAATAATATTTATTTAAAAGAATCGAGTAAACATTGTCATTTGGTTAGATGTAATAATTATTATAGTATCTTTTATTGTTGGAAAAAATGAGTGCTATGGCTACTACAGTTGCTGGTTTAGTTTTAGTGTCCACGGTAGCTGCAGTAATGCTGATTATGTGTAAGTGGATATTTGTTTGTTTATACCTACGGGTTGTTTCAAAATTGAGTCTTTTATTTAATACGTATGTGGTGGCATGGATATGGGCGCCGTTCACAAAATTTACAGGGGGAGCAGTTCTTATAGGCAGGGTCATAACGCCGCAGGCTATTAAAAAAAAAACTTTAAAAACTTTTTCAAAATAGCCATATTCTTAATTCTTATCACACTTTCTTTTGAGGTGATTATTTTATAAAATACGATCACTGTATTAAAAATTTAACGTTGGTTAGCGTAATTTGTCAACTTGGGCTTCCCCATTTTTCCAATCCGTTACGATTTTGGTTAAATATCTTCGAGGGTTCGCTGTAAACCAAATTCAACTTGGAAGCTGATGAGACTTGGATAGCTGTGCTATCAGTTCCGATTCGTCCCTCATCCATGTCCTTGGTGCTATAGTCAACCCCGAGAAGCTGAGGAAACTTAAGATGCTGCAAATTCAGATTCGTCTCCGTCCCTGTCCTTGGCGCGATAGTCATCGGCCAACTTGAATCTCAAGAAGCGAGTCAAGCCAACAAGCTAAGGCGACCTACATGTCTCCGTCCAATTATGGACTTTCACAGATAAGCTCCTAATATTTCTTTATTTATTATTTTTTTTTTGTAGTCAGTCAGTTCAGACAACGTTTTTAAATAGATATTTAAAGTAAATGAGTCTACCTACATAAAATAAATTTTAATTGTTGTAAGTGTCAATTGGCCAATAGAAACAAATAAATTCCCTTGTATTTGCTTGTTCTCATTTTATTTTTTTTTAAATTGTTGTTTAATAAATGTTAAATTATTGAGTTTTTATTTAGATAAAAACGTAAAAACCTATCCAAACATATACTTATTTGTACAGAAGATACCTAGTTCATAGAACGCCCTCGAATTTCGAAACGTCGGCCGAGCGTGCTCGCATAGCTCGCTTTCCTCTGTAGTAGTTATAAGGTGGGTTGGAGGAGTGTAGTGTGATCTTACGATATAGGAGGAAAAAAGGCGCGCCCAGCCGACGTTTCGAAATTCGCGCGCGCGAATTTCGAAACGTCGGCCGGGCGCGCTCGTTTCGCTCGTTCTCCTCTGTACTGGTTAGGAGATGGGTAGGAGAAGCGTAGTGTGATCTTATAATTTAGGTTGAAAAAAGACATGTCAGTTAGGCGCGCTCGCTTCATTCACTCTACTCTGTAGTAGTTAGGTTGTGGGTGGGAGGAGCGTAGCGTGATCTTATGGAGAAACTGTTGCCATGAAAACGCTTATCATGCTAACGACTAAACAAATCTCGTAGTGAGAAAATGCCTAGTTGCCAAGTTATAGATGGTTTCATTTACACTTTAGTTTAGATTAGGATATTGTGCTTAGAGTTAATCTAAATATAAGAGAGAACTACGCATTTTCTCACCACCGAATGTAGGTTTTTGTTTATTCGACATCACGATAAGAGTTTCTATGGCAACTGTTTCTCCATAACCGATTTCAGCTATACTAAAGTGAAAATTAAATGACCTGTAACTTGCCAACTACGCTTTTTTTACCACGTTATTTCGGTTTTTGTTTAGTCGTTACCATGAAAAGTGTCTCTATGGCAACAGTTTCTCCGTAACTAATTATAGCTAAATTAAATCATCTGTAACTTGGCAATCACGCATTTCCTCACCATGTGATTTGGTTTTTTGTTTAGTCGTTACTATGTCAAGCGTTCCCATGGCAACAGTTTTATCATATCTGATTTCGTTTAAACTAAAGTGAACATTAATAATCTATAACTTGGAAACTATGCATTTCCTAACCACGAGATTTGGGTTTTTGTTTACTGGTTACCATATTGGCTGAAGAACGCTCTTGTCTACAAGCTGAAGAATTTATTTTTTAGTTTGCCAAACAATAGACCTGATTATATAAAAATGCTCTGTCGTCACGGTTGTCACGTTTTTCACTTTTGTAAGTGATTAGGGTGATGGTAGTGATTTAGATTAGTTTTACAAACATAATTTTTCTATTAATTTTTAAGAATTCATAAATAAAAAATATCAGTAAATCCTTCTTTTGATTTTAAACTATATTAGTTGTTAAGTACAACTCTGTACAGCTATCAGTATCAGCTGACAAAAATAAATGATTTTAACTGACAAAAATTTTTTATACTATATCTTGACCGGCATAATAATTAAGGTACTACTGCATTTAGATAATAGGTAAGATTGTTTTGCGTATTACCAATAGAAGTAGGTAACACGCACTTGTATTATTAACATTTCTAAAGGAATAATTGCGTAGAAAGTGAAAACTTCGAAATATCCGAACTATTCATTGTACCAACATAATAAACATGCAGGAACACCTCGTTTAGATTCTAACGGAGAATTTAATGTTGCATAGCATTGGTGGACGGACAATTAACCACAAATTCCACGGCAACTACATTAAGCGGAAATCAAAATAACGCACAGTTGATCGATCCAAATGGACCCAGCGTTCAGTTCGTTTTATTTACCAGGTAAATTTTCTTCATTATTCATTCATTAAAACTATACTGCTATCCAAATTTATCGCATCAATCAGAAACTATAGAATTTAAGAATGTGTTAGTTAATATAAGTCATAAATTTTTAGTTCTATACCGGGTATCTTAGAATTTGTGGGCAATCGCCCGAATTCAGATAGAACACATAAAAATAAGGTAATTATTGCGAAGACGCCCTTTTCTTAAAAATACTAATTTTTTTACAAAATTTACATTTTAGGCTTTAGGAAGGAGAGTAGTAATTCCTCGGAGTTCCCACATACTTGGTATTCCAAACAAAATGGTTGCCCGTCTGAAATGACAGGCGAATGACAGGTTATAATATGGTAACTCTGTGGGCCTGGTGATTTGATAGGATCAATGCTATAGACAAATAGATTTTGATCATCCATGTTTTTCAAAATAAACATAAGCCTTGAAGTAAAAATATAGGAAAATACATTTTTTAATATATTCAAAGGCTGGAAATTGGTTTTAAAATACATTTTTGCTAAACCGATTCAAATTAATGGACACTTGCCATACGCTCGCAAACGACACGCTTTAAGCAATCTATATAACTAAATATGTATCATTGACCTTGTTAATAACAACACGCCCACAGGGTTGCCATATCTAAACTGTCAGTTCCCACTGGCAGCAGCATTTTGACAGGTCGTTGGAATGCCTAAATTATTATGTCATGGAGACTACACAAGGAGCACGCACTCAAGTGTGGCATTTGCCAGAGTATGTCCGCGCTTTATCGTATTAATAAAGCTTTCTTTTTTCACCACTAGCGTCGCTATTTTTTCTTTTGTACCGGTGTGAATATAGAGGAATAAACAAATGTGAAGTTAGCGTGAAAATAAAGTAACCGATTATTTAATTAACGTAAACACGTGTCAAATGTTTTTAAATTAAATAAATATAATTAGAGTTATAATTAATTAATTAATTAATAATTAATTAGAATTATTTATTTTATTTCAAACTACCGCCTCATTCTCTTATGCCATTTTGGTACTTATGGAACACTAGCGCCCTCTTAAAATACTCTGTTTAACACAGTACGCTTGTTATACATGGAGTGCGTGCTGCTTGTGTAGTCTCCATGTAGTATGTGCTAAACTGGTGCTAAATTATTCAAAAGTTTAAAACAAGTGAATTTATTTGGTAAAAAAATGACGCCAGCTAGCCAAATTTAAAGACTATTATCAACAAAAGGATAGCTGAATTAGTTCAATTTGTATTGGGTTAACTGTGACGTCACTCGGTGGATAATCATTTTGACCCAGAGAGATAATTAAAGACATCAAAATTATAGGAATAAATACATAGGCAAGTAGTACGTAATAAATTTAAATACAAATGGCCATGTTATCTAAACATTTTTTTAATTAAGAAATATTGAGAAATTTGAAATGTTAAGTCAAAATTTATATACAGAGTGTACAAAAAATAACGTAACATACTACTATTTACATTCCTGGGGGTTTCCGGTGGTATATTTGAAAAATACTTTCACTCCTAAAATGTAAGTTTTGTAAAAAAAATTGTATTTTTAAGAAAAGGGCGTCTTCACAATAATTACCAAAAATAACATAATAAGTTCCTATACTTTTTTTCCTACGACCCTCCTTTTCGGAGATATAGTCCCATAATGGGAAAAATTGAAAATCTAATAATTTTCAAAGACCTTGGTATAATTTAATTTTTTTACTAGATTTGAACCATTTAAACATTTTTTTTTGTTGTTAACTAACCAGCAATCAAGAGTACTTATCTCTTTTTTTTAATTTAGGGTTTAAGCTGTCCAAATATTTGTTTTTCTTTTTAGAATTTATAAATTCTATTTAGTTTGCGCTTTCTTACATATTAAATCATTCTGTTTTAAAAATATTGATTTTTATTATTTTCTACATTGTATAAAGAAATATTATATTTGAATTAAATTACATGAATTTTTAATAATGAACGACTTTATCATAGACCTAAATGGTTAAAAAAAAAATGTTTCTCTATCTATATCTATCTATAAACATTTATTTTTATTATATTTTTCTGTATACAATTTTTTTTATTTCTTTGATTTTACTATTTATCTATTTGTAAAAATGTTATTTTACAGACATAAGTCCCCAATTAATCTTAAAATTGGAAACGAGGAGCTTTTCAAACAATCCGGATTTAATACTAGCAATCCCACCAAAATTATCATACATGGCTTTACAAGCAGTATCAAACAAGACGTTTTTACTATAATTAGAGATGGTAAGTAAAAAGACGACTGTTATCGCTAACGAAAGCTATTTTCACCAATCTTCTTTTAATTTTTATAATTTTTTTTGTGTACCCGTCGTTTTTTGCCCACCATCTGACTTAAGCAGAAATTACATTCTGTATTTTCCATCAAAATTAGTAGTTAACCTGTGTTTATTTCAAAAAGGGATGAGAGACAAAATTATTTTTCCACAACAAATTTTCAACAAAAAGCGACAAATTATCCATATGAAAAATGTAATTTATGCTCATTTACGTGATTGGTAGTGCTTTCTATCAAAATTAGCATTAACGGGGGTTTATTTCAAAAAGGGTATGAGCGACAAATTTTATTTCCAAGATAAATTTACGACAATAAGAGACAAATTATCCATATAAAAACTGTCATTTATGCTACTATTTTTCGTGATTGGTAGTGCTAACTTTCCATCAAAATTAGTCTTAAAAAGACTTAAAAGACTTATTTCAAAAAGGACAAATTTACGACACAAAAGCGACAAGTTATCCATATAAAAAAATATTAGTTTTGTGATTGGTAGTCAGGCCCGCCGAGAGCCAGACCGGGTCGCAGGACAATTCTCCATACGGGCCCCGCGACAAATTTATAGCATAAATTTCTCCTTCTACTTGAGTTTTTCTAAAAAAAAAGTCTTCAACTAAGAATGTCCAACAAACACCACCACTGGTCGGGCCTCCCTTATACCGCTGCCGGGCCCCCGTTACTTTACCGTGAAGTTAGCACTAAGGGTTTTTTTTTGAAAGGGGGATGATCGATAAATTTTCTTTTTCCTTGACAAATTAACGACAAGAAAGCGACAAATTTTCCTATATTTAAAAATCCAAAGTAGTAGTTCTAATTTCACGGACATAGTAAAAATGTTATAATAATTAGAAAATTTCTTTGATCCGTCCTAAAGATTTTTTCCAATTTTTGTGAAATTTTCCTGTGCTATATATAATAGTACTAATTTACTTTAAATTATGTAATGTACGTCAAAAGATGTCCCCCAAAGAAAATCATCCGACGTGTTTCGGGAAATTTTTCCAATTACTATGGGATAAGAAATATACGGGTTGGCTCGTCTGAGATGGAACACCCTGTATGTATTATAGTCCAGAAATTGGAAAATAACAAATGATACTTTTCAGCATACCTCTCAACCGATGACTACAACGTCATAGGTATGGACTGGTCCGTACTGTGCGAATTCGAATACATATCGGCCATGAACGGTGTGCGCGAAGCAGGTCAGTACCTGGCCGACTTCATAAAATGGTTGAAAAATATGGGGGTGTCATTGGACGACATCCACCTAGTGGGCCACAGCATGGGCGCACACGTGGCTGGTGTTGGGGCAGGGAGGGTCAAAAACGGAAAAGTCGGTAGAATAACAGGTATAGTCGAAACGGAATTCTATTAGAATCGGTAGAGATTATTTTGAGGATTTGTTTACTTTTAATAAAACAATTAATCAATATAATACAGGTACAAACAATTTTGGCTGAAATAAATCAGTATCAGACTTAAATAATTTATAAAATTGCTTAAATTGAAATGAAATTGTTAAAAATCAAAAGATATATCTAAAGTAATAAACTTCTAAGTGTAGTTTTCCATTTCTATAAATATTTTATTCTTTATTTGAATTTAAAAGTTTTTGATATTTAGAATAAATGGGCATTTTGTTATTTTCCCAATGTTGCCAAATTATATTAACTCAGATCTTATAACCAATTTTCGTGTATACTATAAACAATATTAAGTAGCGATAAAAGTTTATTTGTAAGTGCATTTCCAGGATTGGATCCGGCTAGACCTGGCTACAGAGATAACAGATTAGATAATAAATTGGATCCGAACGATGCAATACTCGTCGAAGGACTGCACACGTTCATACAGGTGCTAGGACTTGCAGAAACTGTCGGACACGTCGATTTCTATCCAAACGGTGGTGTTGTCCAACCTGGATGTCCAGATTTACAAGATTTATGTAAATTTTACCATTTTTGTAATACTTCCTGCTCTATAATAATAATAATAATACTCTCCCTAATTCACCCCCTTACGAGTGAATTTTAACCCCAAAAGCTGAGCTTGTGCGGGGAAAGGGACGGCTATTATTATTATTTTCCTGGGCTATATTCATTATAAAATACCAGATATAGTCCAGGAATATTTAAAAAAATTAGAAACTTAATTTTTTGAACGGTTTTAGGGAAAATCGGTGAAACGCTGGTATGCAACCATGGTAGAGCCTACCGTTTATTCGCAGAATCTATAAGAGATAAAAATGCTTTTAAGAGTATTAAATGCAAGTCTATACACGAGGCTGCTCTTTCTAAATGCACTGAAGATTCTGACGTATATATGGGTCAACCGGAAACGTATAGGTAACTTAATTTACCGATCAGTTTGCTGAAAGAATCCAAAATATATCTAAATAAATTCAAAATTAACGTTTTATTGCATTTATTCTTTGTCTTTTTTGTTTTAGTGATAATGGAATTTATTACTTCAAAACCAGAAGTAAACCACCGTATAGATTATAAAATATTCTGGAAATAAATGTAACAAATTTTGTAAATTAAAATATACTTTTTGTGCTAAAAACTAAGAAGGTAGGTATGTTGAAATAAAAGCATTACCTATTTTTTTCAATTTTATTATACCTACCAGTGAGTCATAATAAAAAAAACAAATCTATCAAAAAAATCGTTCGGTAGCATTCTAACAGTAATAAAATAAAAAAAAATAACATCTTTTTACTTTCCTATCTGTATACAGATATAAGGAAAGTATAGAAATCATGATTTTTTTCGACCTCCAGTTTTCGACGAATTTTTACGTTTTGAGGTCCCCTGAATCCGTTTTGACTATTTTCGCGATGATGTCTGTGTGTGTGTCGCATAACTCATGAACCAATACACAGAAAAACACCAAATTTTAAACTTAAGCTTTGTTCGAGCGTCCAATGAACTGATTTTTTAGATGCTTGTAATTTTCTCTCTCGGTCAAATTCAATTTTAATCAAACTAAATGAAACTAATTTAATGTCGAGTATTAAAACAAAAATCCTAAAAGTGGAGGTAGAGGCGAGGACAGAGCTTCTTTCTTCCACGCGATAATCTCGGGATCGAATCTGGACTGGGGAATTAAAAATCTTTTTTATTTTTTTCATGTTAATTTTATTTTAAAAATTAGTAAAATTCATAAATTACTTTAAAATTTGTTATTTTGTCTTAATAAACTAAAATATTTTTTAAATTTGTAGATTTTCGTTAATGGGTCGTAAAAAAGTATACTGTACAACTCAAATGGATTGTCCGTACCCACTCTTGTTGCACAAACTTACGATGTTTCCATTTTTTGGTAAATTATTTCTAGTCTATAATTACAACGAGACATCGTTTTAGTCCACGAATATTTATTGAATATTTAGAAAGTGCATGTTACAAAATATGTTTGCTTCTTTCACTGAAAAATAAACGAAAGTACAAAAAGTAAGTTTCAAATTAATTATAAGGATAGCTCACTTTCCATGATTTTTTCCCAGATCTGGGGAAAATGATCTAAATATGGCAACATCGCTTTGAATAAATATCGTATTATTAAATAAAAACCACCCAGCATGTTGGTATTTAGTTTTCTGGGGAAACATGGAAAGCAATTAACGGTATTTATTTTGCAACGCAATGTTGCCATATCATCATTTTTCCCCAATCTAGGGAAAGTGTCGTGAATGGGCTTACTATTTATCAACATTGTCGGTGGCTAAAACAGGAGCGCTGTATCCAAGAAATCTGCCATTATACAGCTTCATTATCTTTTTAATTCATTAATAAAAAATCACCGAGAATGTTGGTACCTAGTTTTCTGCGGAAAAATAAAGAATACTTAACGCTATTTCTTTTGCAACGCGATGTTGCCATATCTACAGATCTTCATGATTTCCCCAGATCTGAGGAAAAACAGGGAAAGTGGCGTGAACAGGCTTATTAGCTACCTATATTGTCGGTGGCTAAGACAGAAGCGCTGTGTCCAAGTAATCTGTCACCATACACCTTCATTACTTTTTTTGTCCATGTAATCTGTCACCACCATACACCTTCATTACTTTTTTATTACATAAAAACCATCCAGAAAGTTGTTACCTAATTTTCTGCGCAAAATGGAGAGTATTTAACGCTACTTCTTTTGCAACGCAATGTTGTCATATCTACAGATTTTCATCATTTTTCCCTGATCTGGGGAAAAACTGGGAAAATGGCATGAACAGACTTACATTGTCGATGGCTTAGACAGAAACGCTGTATCCAAGTAATCTGCCACCACACACCTTCATTATTTTTTTATTAAATAAAAACCACCCAGAATGTTGTTACCTAATTTTCTGCGGAAAATGGAGAGTACTAACGATACTTATTTTGCAACGTGATGTTGCCACATTTATAGATCTTCATCATTTTCCACAGATTTGAGGAATTGGCGTGAACAGGCTTATTATCTACCTACATTGTCGGTGGCTAAGGCAGAAGCGCTGTGTCCAAGTAATTCTCACCACACACCTTCATTATTTTTTTTTATTAAATAAAAACCACCCAGAATGTTGGTACCTATTTTTTTGCGGAAAATTGAGAGTATTTAACGCTACTTCTTTTGCAACACGATGTTGCCATATCTACAGATCTTTATCATTTTCCCCAGATCTGAGGAAAAATAAGAAAAGCAGCGTGAACAGTATTATCTACCTACATTGTCCGTGGCTAAGGCAGAAGCGCTGTGTCCAAATAATCTGTCACCATACACCTTTACTTTTTTATTAAATAAAAACCACCCAGAATGTTGATAACTAATTTTCTGCAGAGTACTTAACGCTACTTCTTTTGCAACGCGATGTTGCCGTATCTTTATCATTTTCCCCAGATCTGAGGAAAAAACAGGGAGTGACGCAAACAGGCTTATTATCTACCTACATTGTCGATGGCTAAGGCAGAAGCGCTGTGTCTAAGTAATCTGTCACCATACACCTTCATTATTTTTTTATTAAATAAAAACCACCCAAATGTTAGTACCTAATTTTCTGCGGAAAATGGAAAGTACTTAACGCTACTTCTTTTGCAACGCGATGTTGTCATATCTACAGATCTTCATCATTTTCCCCAGATCTACATTGTCGATGGCTAAGACAGAAGAATTAAAACGGTATGGTAAAATAAAAACAATTTAATTTTTTACAACTTTATTATACATACTAGTGAGTCAAATAAAAAAACCAAATCCATCAAAAAATCATTTACTAGGATTCTAACAGTAATAAAATGACAGGACCAAACTGGAACCAGCTGTTAATAACAAAATAAAATCAGTTTTGTATAAAATCGAAAAAAATAACATGTTCTATAACTTTTACGATTTTTCCATTTTTTATAAATTATTCCTAGACTATAATTACAACCAGATACCGTTTTAGTGCAAGAAAATTTATTGAATAATTGGAAAATGTATGTTACAAAATTATTTTGATTTTTTTTTCTGAAAAATAGATAAAATAAATAAGTTTCAAATAGTAGGGCATAAAAAATTAAAATATAATTATTAATTTTCCAAATTTTTATAAATTGTCTTGACCTATAACAGCGCAAGCCGTTAATAGTCCAGGAATTTTTTATACTAAATTGGAAAACCGCAATTTTTTTATAAAATTCTTTTTCAGGCGACTCTTATAAAAAATTATATTTTACGGATTTATTAACATCCCTAAAGTGTAACTTTTTTGGCTGCATTTACTTTACGGCCGCTTTTTATTAATACAGGTTTATCATACTTATTGTTAGTAATTCTGAACAAATTGTATTAATTAACAATGGATGTTTAATCGAAAAATAAAAATTTGAAAAAAATATTGGCTCTACTTGATGTTGCTTGGCCTCGGCTACGCCTCGACCGAAAATTTCAGATTCGGCCAAAAAAGATCAACTTTTTAGCCTTGGTAACACAAATAACTATATCAGCAGAAATAAAAAGTCTAAGGTTGGTTTAACCCACAAGAAAAAAGAATTTCGTCAAGAGTTGTGGAAAATAATTCATTCAAAAAGTCATAAATTTTCAGTCCAGCCTTAAAATAGATATTTAGAAATCTCTGAAATACAAATTAAAATAAAACTCTACAATGTAAGATTAATCTAATGGTAATATTTACAGCGTAAAAATCAACCGTCAAAATTGACAACTAACGTTTTAACACCAAAATGAAATTACAAGGCTTGTCGTCAATGTATTAAGCTGTCAATAAATACTGTGTCAAGATATTGATGTAATGGTGTTATTGTTGTATACCAAATACAGCAGACTAACCAGATGTATAAATTAAATAATCTAAAAGTAGATATAAGCATGTTAACGACACTTTCCATGATTTTTCCCCAAATCTGGGGAAAATTAATAAGATCTGTAGATATGGCAACATCTATTTGCATAATAAGTACCGTTAAGTAATGAGGCTGAAACAGAGGTCGTGAAGGCACGACGTGCACATACACATTTATTAATATTTATTTTTTATTTATTAAATAAAAACCATCAACCATGTTGCCAGTTTGTACCTAGTTTCCTGGGGAAAAATGGAGAGTACTTAAGGGAGCGTCCATTAATCACGGAGGTGTTCAAGGACGGAAGGGGATTAAGCTAAATCTTTATAAATCTCACTTGGGGAAGAGGGAGGTCTTTGTAAATCTGACGTAATTTTTTTCTAGTAGAAAACGGTGTAAAATTGCGTGAAAGTAATGTTAAATGAAAGTAAAGAATTTTTCTAGAAATTTTATATTATGGCAATATTCTCAAATACTAGTCTTTGCTAGTCTTAAATAAAAGTAATAGAACATTGTGTTTTTGTTTTTTTTTATGATCCAACTCATTTACACCCAAAATACAAATTTTGAAAAATCTCACGTAAGATTAGAGGAGGGAACTGAGGAAAATCTTACGAAATCTCACCAGGGGGAGAAGGGGTCAAAAAAATCCTCAAAAATACTTCTTATATAAAAAAAGCGATGTTGCCACATCTACCGATATTCATCATTTTCTCTATTTTCACAAATTTATACCTTATTCTTTTTTAACAAAATATTAGCTGTTTTCAAAAATTGTCCATTTTCTAGAAAAATTACACGTTTTTAAATGTTCCCCGATTTACAAAAAAAAATACTCCTTTTCAATATTACTCATTTTCTAGAAGCATTACCCCTTTTTCAATATTCTTTCGATTTACAAAAATTACTCTCTTAAATTTAGATTATTTTCTAAAAAAAATACTCAAAAAAAATTAAACAAATGCTAAAAAATGCGAAAAAATATTCCACCCCATAAACTTAATTACCCATTAAAAAAATATCCAAAAAAAAAACTGATCGCGGAATTTTGTTCGAAAATTTTTGTTCCAATCTTTTTGTTTGAAGTAATTTTGTTTGAAAGTTATTTAGTTTGAAAGTTATTTAGTTCGAAAGTTATTTAGTTTAAAAATTATTTATTTCGAAAACATTTTGTTCGAAAGTTATTTGTTCAAAAATTATTTAGTTCGAAAGTTTTTAGTTTCAAAGTTATTTAGTCCGAAAACATTTAGTTTGAAAGTTATTTAGTTCTAAAACAATTTGTTCGAAAGTTATTTGATTCAAAAGTTATTTAGTTCGAAAACATTTTGTTCGAAAGTAATTTAGTTCGAAAACATTTAGTTTGAAAGTTATTTAGTTCTAAAACATTTTATTCGAAAGTTATTTAGTTCAAAAACATTTTGTTCGAAAGTTATTTAGTTCAAAAACATTTTGTTCGAAAGTTATTTAGTTCGAAAGTTATTTAGTTTGTAAGTTATTTAGTTCTAAAACATTTTGTTCGAAAGTTATTTGGTTCAAAAATTATTTAGCTCGAAAACATTTTGTTCGAAAGTTATTAGTTCGAAAGTTATTTAGTTTCAATGTTAATTATTTCTAAAACATTTTGTTTGAAAGTTATTTAGTTCGAAAACATTTTGTTTGAGTTTTTTAGTTCTAAAACATTTAGTTTGAAAGTTATTTAGTTTGAAAGTTATAGTTTGAAAGTTATTAAGTTTGAAAGTTATTTAATTCTAAAACATTTTGTTCGAAAGTTATTTTGTTCAAAAGTTATTTAGTTCAAAAACATTTTGTTCGAAAGTTATTTAGTTCGAAAGATATTTAGTTTGTAAGTTATTTAGTTTTAAAACATTTTGTTCGAAAGTTATTTGGTTCAAAAATTATTTAGTTCGAAAACATTTTGTTCGAAAGTTATTAGTTCGAAAGTTATTTAGTTTCAATGTTAATTATTTCTAAAACATTTTGTTTGAAAGTTATTTAGTTCGAAAACATTTTGTTTGAGTTTTTTAGTTCTAAAACATTTAGTTTGAAAGTTATTTAGTTTGTAAATTATTTAGTTTGAAAGTTATTTAGTTCTAAAACATTTTGTTCGAAAGTTATTTTGTTCAAAAGTTATTTAGTCCGAAAACATTTTGTTTAAAAATTATTTAGCTTGAAAACATTTAGTTTGAAAGTTATTTAGTTCTAAAACAATTTGTTCGAAAGATATTTAGTTCGAAATTTATTTGGTTCAAAAGTTATTTGGTTCAAAAGTTATTTAGTTCGAAAACATTTTGTTCGAAAGTAATTTAGTTTGAAAACATTTAGTTTGAAAGTTATTTAGTTCTAAAACAATTTGTTCGAAAGTTATTTAGTTCAAAAACATATTGTTCGAAAGTTATTTAGTTTGTAAGTTATTTAGTTCTAAAACATTTTGTTCGAACGTTATTTGGTTCAAAAATTATTTAGTTCGAAAACATTTAGTTTGAAAGTTAGTTATTAAGTTTGAAAGTTATTTAGTTTGAAAGTTATTTAATTCTAAAACATTTTGTTCGAAAGTTATTTTGTTCAAAAGTTATTTAGTTTGAAAACATTTTGTTCGAAAGTTATTTAGTTTAAAAACATTTTGTTAAAAAATTGTTTAGTTTGAACACATTTTGTTCGAATATCTAATTAGAAAAAATATCCTTCCTAGACAAATGTAGTGAATTTCAAACATGGCTTTGTAAAGCCGAAAGTGTAAGGTACGTGTCCATTTTTTATTTTAACTCTATAAGTCAAATTTGTAGGAAAATAGGGCTTTTGATATAATGTACTTAAAAAATTTGCTTCGTTTGATCTGTTAAATGTTTATTGAATTAAAACTATTGGAAAAAAGATTGAATATTATTTTTTATTAAAATGTAATTTTTGTTAAAGTTGGTTTAAAAAAGTTTTAATAGTTCTAGATTAGGTAAATTAGTTTTTTTTTTAATTCTTGTCATTTTATGTAAAAAGTTATTGCGACGCTACTGGCGATGGCTCCACGCCGTGCAGGTTAGGTAAATTAGATAAATTTTTTATTTTATGTAAAGAATGTTTGCGAAGATACTCGCGATATCTCTGAGCGGTGCAGATTAGGTAAATTGGTTGTTTTTTCTAATGTAAAAAAATAATTGCAATTATTATCAATGGCTCCAGGCCGTGCAGGTTAGGTTTTTTATTACTTTCATCAGAATAGGAAAATATTTTTATTTTCATTAATATATTATACATTTAGATTCAACCATTTGAGATCATGTTTTTCATAAAAAAAATTTCAATCAAAAGTCCTCATTGCATTTTTTGGAAACAATTAGATATTCGAACAAAATGATTTCGTTTAAAAAATACGAAGAAAATAACTTTTGAAATGTTTTAGAGGTAATTTAATTTCGAACAAAATTCCAATTTTTTAAATGATCGCCCAAAACAAAATTACCCCTCAAAAAATACAAATAAAATTAACTCATTACTCCAATAAAATACACAAATTACTTCCAAAAAAGCACCCTGACCAGATACCTCAGAAAAATAAATTGTTTCTTAAAATATGTATCCCATAAAATTAACTGTGCATTTCATTGCCCCACTCCATATATTCATGTATTTCTCGAAAATGGAGTAAGATAGAAAATTGCTGTTTTCATTAATAAAAAGAGCAGAAAAACAAAATATGTTCAAACTAAATAACTTTCGAACAAAATGTGTCCGAACTCCATAACTTTTAAACAAAATTCCACGATTCAAAAAACACCCATTTTTAAATGATCGCACAAAACAAAATTACCCCTCAAAAAAATACAAAAAAAATTACCCCATAACTCCAATAAAATACACAAATTACCCCCAAAAAAAGCACCCTTGCCAGATACCCCAAAAAATAAATTACCCCCAAAATATGAACCCCTTAAAATTATCCATGCATTTCATTACACCTCTCCATATATTCACGTATTTCTCGAAAATGGAGTAAGATAGAAAATTGCGGTTTTCATCAATAAAAAGAAGAGAAAAACAAAATGTGTTCAAACTAAATAGCTTTCGAACAAGATGTGTCCGAACTCCATAACTTTTAAACAAAATTCCACTATCCAAAAAAAACACCCATTTTTAAATGATCTTCCAAAAAAAATACCCCTCAAAAAATACAAATAAAATTACCCCATAACTCCAATAAAATACACAAATTACCTCCAAAAAAAAGCACCCTTGCCAGCAAATATGTACCCCTTAAAATTATCCATGCATTTCATTACACCTCTCCATATATTCACGTATTTCTCGAAAATGGAGTAAGATAGAAAATTGCTGTTTTCATTAATAAAAAGAAGAGAAAAACAAAATGTGTTCAAACTAAATAGCTTTCGAACAAGATGTGTCCGAACTCCATAACTTTTAAACAAAATTCCACGATCCAAAAAAACACACATTTTTAAATGATCTTCCAATAAAAATTACCCCTCAAAAAATACAAATAAAATTACCCCATAACTCCAATAAAATACACAAATTACCTCAAAAAAAAGCACCCTTGCCAGATACCCCAAAAAATGAATTACCCCCAAAATATGTACCCCTTAAAATTATCCATGTATTTCATTACACCTCTCCATATATTCACGTATTTCTCGAAAATGGAGTAAGATAGAAAATTGCGGTTTTCATTAATAAAAAGAAGAGAAAAACAAAATGTGTTCAAATTAAATAGCTTTCGAACAAGATTTGTCCGAACTCCATAACTTTTAAACAAAATCCCACGATCCAAAAAAACACACATTTTTAAATGATCGCCCAAAACAAAATTACCCCTCAAAAAATACAAAATAAATTACCCCATAAGGGTCCAATGAAATACTCAAATTACCTCCAAAAAAGCACCCTTGCCAGATATCCCAAAAAAATAATTACCCCCAAAATATGTACCCCTTAAAATTATCCATGCATTTCATTACACCTCTCCATATATTCACGTATTTCTCGAAAATGGAGTAAGATAGAAAATTGCGGTTTTCGCTAATAAAAAGAGCAGAAAAACAAAATATGTTCAAACTAAATAACTTTCGAACAAAATGTGTCCGAACTCCATAACTTTTAAACAAAATTCCACGATTCAAAAAAACACCCATTTTTAAATGATCACACAAAACAAAATTACCCCTCAAAAAATACAAAAAAAAATACCCCATAACTCCAATAAAATACTCAAATTACCTCCAAAAAAAGTACCCTTGTCAGATACCCCAAAAAATTAATTACCCCCATAATATGTACCCCTTAAAATTTACACCTCTCCATATATTCACGTATTTCTCGAAAATGGAGTAAGATAAAAAATTGCGATTTTCACTAATAAAAAGAACAGAAAAACAAAATATGTTCAAACTAAATAACTTTCGAATAAAATGTGTCCGAACTTCATAACTTTTAAACAAAATTCCATGATTCAAAAACACCCATTTTTAAATGATCGCACAAAACAAAATTACCCCTCAAAAAATACAAAAAAAAATACCCCATAACTCCAATAAAATACTCAAATTACCTCCAAAAAAGCCCTTGCCAGATACCCCAAAAAATTAATTACCCCCATATGTACCCCTTAAAATTTACACCTCTCCATATATTCACGTATTTCTCGAAAATGGAGTGAGATAGAAAATTGCTGTTTTCATTAATAAAAAGAGCAGGAAATTTCCTATGAATGTCAGATATCTTTTAACTTACAATCGTTTGGTAACAACTTTAAAAATGACTTTTAATTTTGTTTCTAAATCATCTGGTTTATCTGCTGCAATTTTTTTTTTTTTTTATTAATTTATTTAAATGAAAATTAGTTATTTACACGCTAAAGATTAATAAATAAAAAAGATTTAAATATATTTTACGACTTTCTGCGATTTCCATCGTATTAATTCCAATTTATCATCTAACGTTCGAGCATCAACTCCAACAAGTTCAAAGTAATTTTTAGACTGTTTCGCATCAATATTGCACCAAAATATACTATACACGTAACACTTTCGCCTACCAGATGCATTTCTCGCCTCAAAATCGCAAATTCAAACATAAAAATCGTCTCTTGAAACTTCACACTTTTAAAAACCAATCGATTCATTCCAAATCGATATCCTCGGCCATCTTCCTTTTGCGATTTTTGATGCAATTGAAAGGATTGCTGAGTATCGTCTCGATTATCGATTCCATATCGCTTTTGGTGAATCGAGAATTCGATGGTTCCGCCTCTTTGACGTCAGTCTTATTGATGTCGTTTCTGAAATTCAACAAATCGGGAATTTTTAAATTCAACGCCTCCTTGACGTCACTTTCTGGCGCCCTATTCCTCTTCAAAGGTATTTCCGGTATCAAACTGGACTTTCTTTTCCTATCCAGATCGAAATTCAAATTTGATGAATACGTCTTGGGCAGTACTTGAGACGTGCGAGGTTTGATGTTGGTTTTGAAGCAACGCGCCGTCGCCGCGTTGTGCGTTGGCGCTGTAGGCGATCGTTGCGACGTTGCCGTTAGAATATCCTCTCTCGCTCTGACTAATTCGGCGGTTAGATCTTTGTACTTTTGGTCCCATTCTTCGATGTGCTTCTTGAAATCGGCCAACGTCGCTTCCTGGTCCTGGATCTTCGTATTTTGCTCTTGGATCTTCTTTTCTTGTTCGCGAATTTTCAATGATTGCGCCTTGATGCGCATGTTCTGTTTGCGCAGCTGTAATAAAGAATTATGTCATCTCGTCTTTAATTAAATTTATATAATATAATACGTACCTTCTGGAATAATTTTTGTGTGCTCTGAGTCAGATACGAAATGTGGTGCTTGTGAGTCTTGCTTTGTTTCTTCACCTTGTGTATTTCGTTGGACAGCGATTGATGGGAGAGGATCAACCTTGGTGTTTTTGAACTCGAAGCTACAGATCCGTACGAAAGAGCTACAAAGAAAAACGTATTGAAATTAAAGCAAACACATGTGGCTCGAAGGACCCGGAACGTCATACCTGATCTCCTGTCTACTTGTTCTTTTACTTTGGGAAGTATGTGTTCGTCGAAATGCTCCATCGCCATGCTGCTCAAGTCTCTCAACTCTTGCAGCAATTGGTGGGTTCTAGGTGGTGTTTGATCGCTTTCTACCAGACACAGAACAGTCCGCATTTCGTCTAGAACCTAAAAAATATCAAATTCAAATTGTTTGTAATACTCAGAGTAACAAATAGATAGGTATACAGATATATAAATAGATATTTAAACAGATATTGGGGTCTATTCTGTAACAATTCCTTTATATTTAACGGTCTTTAAAAATATTTTCTTCTTTACTTCTGTCATTATTTAAACGGATCTTTGAAATACATTAGAGGACTATCTTAAAGAAATCTGTTTAAGTAATGACAGAAGTAAATTAACGAATACGAAAATGTTTTTAAAGGCCGCCAATATTTTTAAAGGCCGTTAAATATAAAGGAATTGTTACAGAATAGACCCCATTGGGGTCTATTCTGTAAAAATTCCTTTATATTTAACGGCCTTTAAAAATATTTTCTTCTTTAATTCGGTCACTATTTAAACGGATCTTTAATATACATTAGAGGACTATCTTAAAGAAATCTGTTTAAATAATGACAGAAGTAAATTAACGAATACGAAAATGTTTTTAAAGGCCATTAAATATAAAGGAATTTTTACAGAATAGACCCCATTTAGATAGATATTTAGATAGATATTTAGATAGATATTTAGATAGATATTTAGATAGATATTTAGATAGATATTTAGATAGATATTTAGATAGATATTTAGATATATATTTAGATATATATTTAGATAGATATTTAGATAGATATTTAGATAGATATTTAGATAGATATTTAGATAGATATTTAGATAGATATTTAGATAGATATTTAGATAGATATTTAGATAGATATTTAGATAGATATTTAGATAGATATTTAGATAGATATTTAGATAGATATTTAGAAAGATATTTAGATAGATATTTAGATAGATATTTAGATAGATATTTAGATAGATATTTAGATAGATATTTAGATAGATATTTAGATAGATATTTAGAAAGATATTTAGATAGATATTTAGATAGATATTTAGATAGATATTTAGATAGATATTTAGATAGATATTTAGATAGATATTTAGATAGATATTTGGATAGATATTTAGATAGATATTTAGATAGATATTTGGATAGATATTTAGATAGATATTTAGATAGATATTTGGATAGATATTTGGATATTTAGATAGATATTTAGATATATATTTAGATATATATTTAGATAGATATTTAGATAGATATTTAGATAGATATTTAGATAGATATTTAGATAGATATTTAGATAGATATTTGGATAGATATTTGGATAGATATTTAGATAGATATTTAGATAGATATTTAGATAGATATTTAGATAGATATTTAGATAGATATTTAGATAGATATTTAGATAGATATTTAGATAGATATTTAGATAGATATTTAGATAGATATTTAGATAGATATTTAGATAGATATTTAGATAGATATTTAGAAAGATATTTAGATAGATATTTAGATAGATATTTAGATAGATATTTAGATAGATATTTAGATAGATATTTAGATAGATATTTAGATAGATATTTAGATAGATATTTAGATAGATATTTAGATAGATATTTAGATAGATATTTAGATAGATATTTAGATAGATATTTAGATAGATATTTGGATAGATATTTAGATAGATATTTAGATAGATATTTGGATAGATATTTAGATAGATATTTAGATAGATATTTGGATAGATATTTGGATATTTAGATAGATATTTAGATATATATTTAGATATATATATTTAGATAGATATTTAGATAGATATTTAGATAGATATTTAGATAGATATTTAGATAGATATTTGGATAGATATTTGGATAGATATTTAGATAGATATTTAGATAGATATTTAGATAGATATTTAGATAGATATTTAGATAGATATTTAGATAGATATTTAGATAGATATTTAGATAGATATTTAGATAGATATTTAGATAGATATTTAGATAGACATTTAGATAGATATTTAGATAGATATTTAGATAAATATTTAGATGGATATTTAGATGGATATTTAGATTGATATTTAGATGGATATTTAGATTGATATTTAGATAGAAATTTAAATAGATATTTTTTGATAAGGGAAATTCCCAGGTAACGAAATTTAAATTATTATGTCAAAATTGAAGTTAGTAAAGCTGGACGATTTAGAGTCTAGAAAAAAATTATTGTGAAATTATCAAAGATATTTTTGTTTAATATTTGGGAAGAATTGATTGTCAAGAAATTTAGGGATGTCAAAAATAAAATAATTGATGAGAATTGAATTAAATAGAAATAGAAGCTAAATAATGTACTGATAAGTTGAAATAAAGAAAATACAATAGAAAAAGGTAAAGAAAAGTTATTTTATTGAAACTAAGATACAAAATAGAGAAACAGTGGCAAGCAGATAGAGAAGAAACAGCAGGGGGTAGGAGACTCTGGAGAGTATAAAAAGGAAGACCAGAGTTAGAAAAAGAACCAACAGCAGGAGCAGGAGCAGAACAGCCAGGGCAGAGAAATAGAAGATTTTTTTTTTAATTTAACTGATTTTCAATTATTTTCATTTATTTTCATTTTTTTTATATACAAAATTAATTTTTCTAGATTTTGAACCCGCCCAGTTTGAGATTTGGTAGTATTTACAATATTTTTTTGAAAATCCATATACTGGGTGTTTCCATATCATTAGATAGATAAGATATTTGGATAGATATTTGGAGAGATAGATATTTAAATATTTAGATAGATATTTAAATAGATATTTAGATAGATATTTAGATGGATATTTAGAGAGATATTTAGAAAAATATTAAAATATTTAGATAAATATGTAGACAGATACTTAGATAGATATGATATTTAGATAGATATTTAGAGATATAAATATTTAAATATTTAGTTAGATATGTAAATATTTAGATAGACATTTAAATATATATTTAGATTGATATTTAAATAGATATTTAGATAGATAGAACCCAAACATTCAACCAACCTTTCCCGGTATGAAACACAATAAATTGTTCTCCATGAACTTGACATACGTCATATTTAGCATGCTTATTCTAGTTTCGACCGCTTGTAAAATGTCGCAATGTCTCGCCAGAGGATGTGAGCGTCGCTCGGATTCTCTGCGCGGCAATAGGGATTTTACTTTCTTGTAAATGCCGGAGTGGCGTTTTTCCAGCTGTACGAAACCTCTGGATAGCATCTTTTTACCGATTTCGTTGAATTTTCTACATACCTAAAAAATAAAATCAGTAATTTCAATTACGTATACCAGCAAAAAACAAAAAATCCATCAATAAACAAGCTTACTTTGAATTTGACCGGTTACACCGCAGCTCCCACCACCGGGACATAGTACATGTACCCAATTTCAAATAGTAAGCAAAAACACGACATGCTACTTTTTGCAGTCAAATGACGGACTAATAAGGATTTTTGAAAGGATTTCTTTGTTAATAGCCAGTTGCGAATTTAATTTGAGAAATCTCAGAGTAGGAACATTGAATTATGGATAAAATTATAAGATAAAAAGGATTATTGTACGTTATTGAATTGTATTGATATTTGTAAATAAGTTAAAAAGGTAAATACATTTTATTTGTAAAATGAGAAACCAGAAGTTGAGCAGGTAGGACGACTGAGCTGAGGAGTAACTGCAGGAGCTGGAAAAGCAAAAAGAAAATACGAAACCATTTTTGTTTTTTTTTATTTAATTCTTTGGTTGTTAAATTGTGTTTCTATAAATTTTTATTAATTTTGTAGGCTTGGAACTCAATTTTTAGATTGGAATTCATGTACTGCGTGATTCCATATCACTAACTTAGATAAAATTATGTATATGTTCTTTTTAAGTCACAAATGTCACTTACTGATTCTTACCTGTCACTTGTCAAACATATGTAGATAGTCGGCAAATTAGCAAATGATAAATAAATAAATGATGTACAGTAAACGCCAAACCTAAAGAACCAGCGCAAATGCTTAAGTTAGTTTACTTAAAAATCGCCACGCCCATTCACAATTTGAACCTTGTCCTTGCTTACGGTCAGTAGCGTAACGACTAGATCATTGTTTGTTTCTTGTTTCTGTGTTGTGGTTAAAGTTTATTTTTGATAATGTCTTCTATTGTGGGTGAAAAAAAGCGCAGATTTGTTATTAACGGACAAAGTCATGAAGTAATATACAATGTTTTTAAATATTTTGACGGAACAAAAAAGGAAGGAGTTACTTTAGATGATATCAAACTTCAAACTACACAAGCAACAGGTAAACATGCTCTGTAGTTTATTTGCAATTACACTTGCGTAGTTTTCCATATTTTTTTTGTATTTTACACATATCTATGCATTTTATTTTTGATTAATATTATAAATTTAAATTTTTAAAATTTATCTTTTGTTTCTAAAAATTTTTGTTTCCTAATAAATGTAAAAAAAATACTAAATTTAACATTAATATAATATTACGTTTTTACAGGTGTTTCTTCTACTACCGTTAAAAGAATTTTGAAGGAAGGTAAACAGTCAATGGAAACAACTGGAAAAATTACATTTTCCACACCCAGGAAAAACTTCGTCAAAAAATCAACCGCTACGAATCTCTCTGAATATCAATTGAGGGACATTCGAAGAATAATTTTTACGATTTTCATATAACAGAAAAGGCTCGTGTTACTATTAAAAGGTTAAATAATAAAATTAAGGAAGATTTAGATATCCACATATCAGAAGAGTCCTTAAAAAATTTCAATTTAAATGGGGAAAAACACAAAATAATCGTAAAGTTTTGGTGGAAAAAATGAAAATAAGAACTTTAAGAGTAAAATATTTGAGACAGATAAAATAGTCAAAATAGACCAATCGTTTATTTAGATGAAACATATATACACAGCGGACATACTTCTTCCAAGAATTGGACAAACGATTCAACAAAAGGTTTGTTTTCTGTTATTTATAAAGGCCAGAGGCTTATTTATTACAGTTCACGGTGGGGGAGAAATGGGTTTTATCAAAAATAGTTTGTTGATATTCAAATCAGGGACCAGGTCTGGAGATTATCATTCCGAAATGAATTCGGAAAATTACGGCAAATGGATAAGAGAGAAGTTTGTGATAATGCTAGTTATCACAATGTACAGACAAGTCGAGCACCTAATTCCAATTCTTTAAAGAATGATACTGATTAAATCTCATAAGGACCGACATGTAACATGCATTTGATGAGTTGTGTCAAGAATACGGCCATACCGCTTTACGGTTACCCCCATATCACCCCGACTTAAACCCTATCGAATTGATTTGGGCAACTGTTAAGAATAATGTCAGTCAAAAGAATGTTACCTTTAAATTAGAAGACGTAAAACAATTAGCAGAAGAAGAATTTAACAAAATCGGTATGGAGGAATGGAAAAAGAGATGCGATCATGTTATAAAGGTAGAAGATAAATATGTTGAAAGATAAATACAAACTGATTTATGTTCGGAAATTAATCCTATCGTCATTAATCCTAATGATTATTCCAGTGCCGACAGTGACGAGTCTTCTTCCAACAAAGAATCTGACGAAGACATATGAACATTATTTATTTGTGATTTACTGTTTACGTTGTTCGTATTTACTTATAGGCTATATAATATAAAATTAAACATGTTAAAAAATCGGAAGGCTGTTTTCGCGATACACTATTTTAGCTTTTACCTCATATCTTGTTTATTTATGATCGAAACCATTTCATTTTTTAATGAGGTATTCGGAAGGAAAACCCTAACAATATGTAGGTTTTAAATATTTTTATTACAACCTGATTTTATAAATAAAAAATTCGACCTAAAATGAAATTTTGTCAATTTGCAAATATCAATTTTTTAAAACCTACAAGTTTTTGCTAAAATTAAAAACTAATTGGGTTTTGGGAGTATGCCGTTTCTCAATATTTTTATTTGGAACCCGTGAAAGCAATATCGCTCATTTTAATTTCTTGATAGTTTCGGCCTTAACTTGATGAAAATCCATATTATTAAAATAAGAAAAACCAAACATGGTAGATTTCACACTTTTATTTAAAGAAATAAAAATTAAAAATTGCACGACAATTGTTTCTAAGTACAACTTCTTCTTCAAATGTGACTCATTTACATTTCTAATATACAGTGCTTTTCAGATAAAAGTATCCACCTTAAGTAACTTTTGAAGGACTGATTATTACAAAAAACAAAAAAATACGTCAATTAATATTCGAAGGGGGAGATATCGTGCCATATTTAAGTTTGCTGAAAAAGTCACCCTTTCACCCCTACTATCATCCCTTCAATTTTTTTAAATGGCTTCTCCCATTTTTTTATCCATTTTTGGATTGTTCTCGTTTAACTGATTTCAAAAATGTATAAAACATGGGGTTTAAAATAATTAGTTTATGATCTACAGGGTTCCATTATTTAAGTGACAAATTTTTACATCTCACCTTACTGACTGCAGCAAAATTGGATTTAGAATACATTATACCTTAATCGTATCGCTAAAAACTTGTTGAAGTTTTTTATGATACATGGTAAAGGTGTTGGAGATTTGAAAAATGAATTTAAATTACTTTTATAGTGTATTTTGATACATGTGCACATTGATTTATTGAGGTTATTTATTTGATTTGAAAATGGTTTACAGTTTACAAGAAAGAATTGAACTTGTAGGTTTATACTACAAAAATAACAGTTCTGCACGAGCTGCTGCTAGAATTTTCAACGAAACACACCAAGGAGGTCATGCAACTCATAAGTATGTAATTGATCTTATGCATAAATTTACATCAACCGGGTCAGTTGGCAATAAAAAACATAACCGACTGGAACTCGCAAATAACGAAGCAATTGAAGTCGCAGTTTTAGGACAAGTAAGTCTTGAAAATCAACAAGCACAGTCACTGACAACAATAAGCAGAGAAGTAGGTGTTTCATCTTCCACAGTTTATCGATTATTACACAAGCATAAGTACCATCCATACAAAATTAAATTGGTTCAAGAGTTGTATGAAGATGATTTTGATCGTCGTCTTGAATTTTGTGAACTATTGAGTCAGCGCTTGACTGACAATCCACATTTGTTGCACAACCTTTGTTTTTCGGATGAATGCACATTTTCAGTTAATGGTTTAGTTAATAGACATAATTGCAGATATTGGGCTGAGAGTGATCCACATGTTGTGCGTGAATACCACACACAGAATCCTCAAAATTTAAATGTATGGTGTGGTATCCTAGGTGACCACATAGTCGGACCTTTCTTTTTAGACGGAAACTTAAATGGAGAGTCATATCTTGAGTTATTGAGAGAAGTAATTGATCCACGTATTACAACAATAATAGAAAATGATCATAATCTTTCTGAAGATTTGCTTGTCTTTCAACAGGATGGAGCGCCTCCACATTTTGCTTTGCCAGTACGACAATTTTTAAATGAAACTTTCCCCAATCGTTGGATAGCTAGAAGAGGCTCGATGATGGAGTGGCCACCTAGATCACCGGATTTATCACCTCTAGACTTCTTTTTATGGGGTTATTTAAAAACAAAAATGTATGCTACCCAACCAGAATCTTTAGAAGATTTACGACAAAGAATAGAGTATGAATGCCTACATTTAAATGCACACGTGTTCGGTAATGTCAGGGAGGCTTTTCAATCTAGGTTATACCATTGTAAGGAAGTAAATGGTGGACATTTTGAACAATTTTTATAATAAATTTTGAAAATGAAATATTCGTTTTGTCATTGGAAACGCTTGTGACAAAATCATTAAAATAAAAGTTTTGCACAATTCAATTTTATTTTAATTTAAAATTCTGTAGATCGTAAACTAATTCCTTTAATCCCCATGTTTTATACATTTTTGAAATCAGTTAAACGAGAACAATCCAAAAATGGATAAAAAAATGGGGGAAGCCATTTAAAAAAATTGAAGGGATGATAGTAGGGGTGAAAGGGTGACTTTTTTAGCAAACTTAAATATGGCACGATATCTCCCCCTTCGAATATTAATTGACGTATTTTTTTGTTTTTTGTAATAATCAGTCCTTCAAAAGTTACTTAAGGTGGATACTTTTATCTGAAAAGCACTGTATATACAAAATAAAATAATTAGTTAAAGTAGGTACTTAAGAGAAATATATTAATAAAATTCCAATAAGATATCATTACCGGGATTATCTAACAGAAAACTAAGAACAGGTAAAGAGATTTAATTAAGCTCAGTTATTAATATCTAATTGATCACTTAAGAGGATATTTGAATTTTTAAATCTATTTATTTCAAGTGTTTCTAAATGGTTTAATTTAATGCCTTTATTCTCAAAATGTGAAACAATTTTTGCATAAACGATTGATTTTCAGATAAAAATGTTTTGTAGAATTTGTTTTGTTTTTAGTATAACTATTGTAATGTTTTAAATACCTGTTTTTTTTAAGTATGGCCCGTTTGACCAATATACAATTTTACCACAATTTAATGTATTTGAATAAGGATAATTTCCTGACCGTAACAGAATTTTAATTAAATACCGAACGGAAAGCGGTAGAACAGCCTTAACCTAAAGTCGGCTTACTTAAAAATAATGATTTTTAATTGACTATAGAATTATGTACTAATAATAAGCAATATGTATAAACAAGTATCATTCATTATTTTCCATTTATTTTATATCTTAAAATATACGCGCCCCTGGTTTACAACTTTCTAGGTAAGCTACCAATTCTATTCATCGGTAGACGTGTTCGTAGCATTATAAATGCGCGTCCTTGGTTCTTTATATTTGGCGTTTACTGTAACACCTTTCCTGTAAGGTTGAAAAAAATAAAACTACATGAAATTATTGTAAAATCTGTATATATTATGAATTATTAGATCAGTTAGTAAGTAAGCATGTAATGACTGATGGCATAATAGACCAATATCACGATAGTAATGCCACGTACTTTTTAACGCCCTCTAGCGAGATTAAAAACTGTTTTGTATAATGCGACCCTTCATTTGAAAGCTATAAATTTGTTATTTTGGTTGATTGTGATTAGTTTGCTCTGTAAGATTTTTTATTTACTTAAGTTGTTTCATTTCATTGATTTGTTGTGTATTAAATTATTAATAAAATAAGTTTTCAAAAGAAGTGTCACACTTTACAAAAGTATACATAACAATTTTTATCCAACTATTGAATTGAAATCAATGCAATTTTCATATAAAACTAGTTATAGCATGGGAAATACCCTGTATAATATAATAGGAAAATCAAGGAAAGTTCAAATATAAAATAAAATACAGGGTGTTCCATTTAAAAAAAACCTAACTTTGATATGTATCACTTTCTTGGAAAACCCTGTATAATTGAAATGATTTTTAAATTGTTGCCCTTTCTGATATACAACTCTCTAAGAAAACGAATTTTAAAAAAATCATATAGTTTTGGTTCTATAGACCGAAGCGTAACCTTTTGCCCACCCAGTATAAGAGTTTGACACTGTCACAAATTTAAAAAATATAAATAAATGTATGAATAAAATTCTTTAATTTAATTAAAATTACTTAACTCTATTTAATGTAAGAAGGTTATATCTATATCTAAAATGTAGCACATCCAATAAGGAAAAGAAAACTCAATGAGTAACTAGTTTCGTTCATATTTGATCATCATCAGCCATAGAAGTAGTTAAAACATAAACTGCTAGAAAATTTATTTTATTGTTAGGAACGACAACATAATTTTTTGACATATTTTGTTGTCTTTATTAAATTTATTGTGGTCAAGACTTTGAATGTTCTTTCTCCTTTTTGTTTAAACTCTGACGCAATCCCTGATCATAACTTTAGTACATTTACCATCTGATAAGTGTCATCTTCTATTTAATACAAAACAATAATAACCCATAATTACTTAAACACGAACCGCTATTATATTCTGATTAATTAGTCGGGTACTAATAAATCCAAACTCGCGTTGGTTACAATACAATTCAAATGTTTTTGTTCTCCACCTCGGATGGACAGACTGTGAGTCGGCGCTAATTTTTCCTTCATCATCCCAGTCTTCTCCCACTTGGATTGGCCGCAGTTACTGCAAGACGTCAGAGGAACCACGTCCAAACAAACCGTTCTCTTCTGACAGTTACCACACTTAAAGAACCGTTTCATAGCGTCGAAAACTTTCAACGGATGTCGCTCAGATTTACAATGATCCGAAGCAGAGAAACTGACGTACTTGCACTGCAAACATCTGACCGCTTTGCAAGCTAACTTGTGTGTACCAATCATCTTCTCTTCCATGTTTTCTTTGATCTCCAACTTCTTAAAGTACTTTTCCTGCTCTTCGTCTTCTCTAGCCTCAATCAGATCTTGATGGCTGGACACGGCGGCCATTAGCTTCTTGAAACGCTCTGAAGTGAATTCAGTCGGCATAGCTTTGAATCGTTTAGCTTCCGAATCAGCTTCAGCACCAATCTGTCTTTTCTTGACATTCCCAGAGCCCTTTACACTGTTCGGATCCGATTTTTTGATTGGTCCAACTTTTTGGATCATCTTGATGGCGTTCAGTTTCGCTCTGTCTCTTCTGGTTGGTGTTATGGACTTGTTGAGGTCAACTAGACCGGAATCGAAGCCTGATAGCTTTGGAAACCCATATTTTTGACTGCTAAAAGGCCCTTCGCGATTTAAACTGCTGCCTGCCATTGTATTTGCTTTAAGAAAATCAGATATTCCATCTAGTTTAAAAGAATCCCTAGATGCTCCAGGAGAAGTTAAAATGTTGCCTGTGGCTTTAGGTGATGGTGTATCTGGTTTAGAAGAGCCACTAGACCTTCCTGAAGGGCTTAAACAGTTTGATGCTGTTGAATCTAGTTTAAAAGAACCCATAGATGTTCTTGAGGACTTTGTGGCTTTGGATGGTGTTATATTTGGTTTAAAAGATGCATTAGACCTTCCTGGAAGGTCTAAATAGTTTGATGCAGTTGAATCTAGTTTAAAAGAACTCGTAGATGTTTCTGGGGATTTTAAAATGTTGCCTGCGGCCTTGGATGCTGCTGTGTTTGGTTTAGAAGATCCACTAGATCTTCCTGAAGGATTTAAACAGTTTGATGTAGTTGAATCTACTTTAGATATTCCCGGAGACTTTAAAATTTTGTCTGTGACCTTGGATATTGTTGTTTCTGATTTAGAAGAACCACTAGATCTTCCTGGAGGATTTAAATTTGTAGATGTTCCTGGAGACTTTAAAATGTTATCTGTGACTTTGGATGCTGGTGTATCTGGTTTAAAAGTACCTGCAGAATTTAAACAGTTTGATGCTGTTGCATCTAGTTCAAAAGAATCAGTAGATGTTATTGGGGATTTGGTGGTTTTGGATGCTGCTGGGCTTGGTTTAGAAGATCCACTAGATGTTCCTGGAACATTTAGATCGTTTGATGCAAATGCATCTGGTTTAAAAGAACTAGATGTTCCTGGGGACTTTTTAGATGCTTGTATGTCTGATTTAGAAGAGCCAGCAGATGTTCCTGGAAGGTTCAAATAGTTTGAGGTTGTTGCATCTGGGTTAAAAGAACTTTTTGGGGATATGGATTTGGTTCTTTCAGACGATTCTGTTGGCAAATTTTGTTGCTTAGCTTTGAGTTTACTTAAAACTGACGTAGCTAAACTTTTGGCGTCTTCTAAAGTGATTTCTGAAGACTGTTTACCTTCAAAATGAGTTTTTTGGGTTAAATATGAAGTCCCAGTCAATTTTTCTAACAATTGAAGATCTTTAACACGTTGGGCATAAGGTACTTCCAATCTAGATGCAGATTTCTTTTTAATTCCATTAGATTTCTTTTTCGGCATCATAGTTGCTTTGCCAGATAAAGCATCCAATCTATTGTTGTCTTTCTGTACCGATTTCTTGCTTCGTTTCGTTGGTATGGCCATGTAAGATTTCCCTGCGTAAAAAACCTCGTTTTTTCCTAAAACTTTGTTTCTCAAAGCTGTGAGTCCTCTACCTCCGAACGTGGATTGCAAATCTGATCTTATACTGCACTTTTGGTACTCCTGCTTGATGTGGTAGATGCAATATTCGCATATGTTGACGTTTACAACTGCTGTGCATTTGTCTCCATTCTTTTTTATGCTTTTGCATATGCCGAAATCCTTGGATTGGCCGAAAATCATCACTTTTTGGACGTTGTTGACGCTCAAAGTTGCCTGTGGAATATTAAGAAGCTTATTTTGGATTAATTTTTACTCTAACATTTTGAAGATACTTAATATTTATTCAAAAAAATGTCTTAAACCTTTAGGATTTCTGATAATTTTATTCTAGAAAAAGTACTAGAGTTTATACAGATTTAAAATGAAATTTTAATTAAAGTGAGATAAAAAAAATCAAAATTTGGAAAATGCCTATTATGTAAAAACGACTAAAGATAAAAAAATTTAAACTAGAACTATCAAAAAGAGAATAAACTTTTATATAAGATAAAGTATTACTAATATCGTTGTAAAATGAAATTTACTTTTAATGTATGTGAGAGTCATAAAAAAACAAGTGCAAATGTGGAAAAATGCCCATTATGTAAAAATGAATAGAAAATACATGAAATGAAATGTACATTTTAAAAATATCTTAAATATGTATAGCATGGAATAATTTCTAGATCTTCCTGGCATATATATCCGTTAGTTTCTACTTTATTGTATTGATATGTCATTTTTCTAGTACCTTTGAGTCCATTGACTCCTGATATGCAACCAGTCGTTTTAGAAAAAAAAATCATGTGAATCAGCACTATAACTTACATTTTGTAACATTCAAACTAAATTGTACACACATTCAAATAGTTCATGATTATTAATCAAGAGAATAATCTATTAAATTCTTTTCAAATTGATTCGATTAATGAAGTTGTTAATGCTGCTAATATAACAAATAAAATTAATTTAAATGAAAAACTCCTAAATGTCTTACATTTCAATATTAGATGTATTAAAAAGAATTTTGATGAGTTATTAGTATTTATAGAAAATTATAAAATTAATTATTGTGATATAATAGTTTTGACTGAATGTTTCTAATTAGAATCTATTTCTCAATTTAACCTAGATGGCTTCACCACCCACTATAACAATGGTAACTTTAACAGAAATGATGGTGTTGTAATTTCGGTCAGGTCAAATCTAAATGCAGAATTAAATATAGTTAAACTGGAATATTCTGATATTTGTGTCACTAAAATAAATCTAAAAGTCAATCGTCGGACCATTGGCATTACAGGTGTATATAGGTCTCCTCAAACCTTTGCACAAGCATTTATAAGGGATTTAGAAAATTTCATACCAAATCACCTAAATAGAAATATTGAAATATTCATAGGGGACATTAATATTGATCTCTTAAATGTAACCAATCAAGTAACTACTGATTACCAAGCAACTTTTTACTCCCATGGTTTCATGTCTTACATAAACACTATTACGAGGCCACAAAGTAAAACATACTTGGATCATATATTCTTAAAAAACAATATTAAGACTGAAAATCTATCAGTGAACTCTTATATAATCAACTATGATATAACTGATCATGATCCTATTATGATAAATATCTCACAATCTGCCAAAAACTACACAAGTTCCTACAATATATATAAAACTATAACTAAAATCGATACTGATAAATTAAAACAAAAATTCAAAACTGTAAACTGGGAAAGTGTTTGCAATGAAAATAATCAAGAAACTGCAACACAACTTTTTTATGACACGTATCTTAATATCATTGAAACATGTCAAACCACTCAAAATATTAAAATTAAAATCCATAAAAAATGGTTTAATTAATTCTATTAAAACTAGAGATAAACTTAAAAAAGATCTACAAAAAAACTATACTATTAACAAACTCACTATAAAACATTTAGAAATAATTTAAACAAACTAATATCAAAAACTAAAAATGACTATTATAACAATAAAATAAACCAAATCAAAAATGAATGAATGAATTAATTAATTAATTAATTAATCTCTGAAGCAACTAATGAAAATCATAAAAAAAATAATACCAATTTACAGATTGTTAACCAACATAATGAGATGGGAAGCTGTCAAGACAGGTGCTATAGCTGAAATGGAACATGTCAAAAACTGGCTGGATGTATTTAAATTATCTTTGAATGTTAACAAAACAAACTACATTGCTTTTTCAAAGACAGTGTCTGATCGACCTCAATTTAGAAGCTTAACATGTCAAAATGTAGACATACAGGAAACAGAAACATCCAAATATTTAGGTATAATTATAGATCAGCACTTAAAATGGGACAGCCATATAATATATACAGGGTGGCTCACGCTCAACGGGACGGAGCTTTATGGGAAAACGACCAAAGATATAAAAAATTCGTTTGGGAGGAATACGTAGGTTACAGACGGCTACAATTTAAAATTTGTTAGATGTATACAGGATGTCCCACATAAATGAAAAAAAATTAGTTCATTAAAAATTATTCAAACAAGAGTAAACAATTAATTTCTGGGAGACTTTTTTTCCTTAAAAATTCAAATAAATCGAAAACTAATAATAATAGTAATAGGGAACCTTTAGTTAACTGACATTATTTTTGATGTAGTTTTTAATTCTAAAATAAAAAACAGGGTGTTTATTCAAAACAAAATCTTGAAGTAAATATAGTTGCTGCGTTTAAGAATCCACATCGGATGCATCTGAGATGTAGTAAATCTTTGATCACGTGATTCAGTATACGTAAATGTAATGGGACAGATGTGTCTGATGTGGATAAAAAAACGCTCGAAATGTAAAAAATGCATCCGATGTGGATTCTCAAACGCGGCAATAAAAGAGATAGATTGTGTCCCACCATAACTTTATATAATGAAAAAATTAGCAATGTTAGATGTTTATATATTCACGCAGTGTGTTATATACAAAAAAATTAATTTTTAAAAAACCTTTTAGAACATAGACATAACAATAGAACTGCATGTGCATTAAAGTACCAAAACCAAATGGTGAGTTTTTTAAAAACAGTGTAAATTATCTAGGGACAAAGTTCTATAACGCTCTACCTCTTCATATAAAATTATTAAACAAATATAAAAAATTCTGAAAAGTTAGCAAAATATACATTTTCCAAAATAAAGTAAAGTTTATCAGAATATTCCAAGAATAACGGACTTAATACATGATTTTTTTTTTGTTTCTTGCATAAATATCAAGTTTTATTTTTTATTTAAAAAAAATGTTCTTTTATTTCCTTTATAATTCATTAAATATAATTAAAATAAAATTTTAATTTTTGTCAGCACATACAGATGTTCTCACCTAGGTGCTTGTTATTATATAATTGGTTTCCATTATTGTACTTTATTGTAACTTATTTATTATTGTAACTCATTGTAGCTGATAACTATTAAACTATTAAAATTAGAAGAAAATAAATATGATGCAGCAGAATTTTTGGACTTAAAGAGCTTTTAAGACAGTTGATAGGCAAATAATGTAATCTAAATTAAAACATTATGGTATTGGATTGGTTAAGTAACTATTTAAATAATCGCAAGCAGCGAGTCAATTTTGATCACCAAACATCAAATTGTGGGTAAAGAAAGAGTTGTATAAAGTATAACCCACACCCATTCTATTCTATCCAATTCTTTACTAGTTTTAACTGTAAATTTGTTTTAAATAATCCTTCATTCATTATTATGTTACTGAACTTGATTTGAATACATGATTGAATAAATATTATGTCTAATAAAAAAACATATTAAATATTGTTTTCTTACCTCATTATTATCATTACGTTTTTCCAAAACATCCGGATTCAACACCCCCACTACGGTTCCGAGAGCAGTTTTCCACAATTGATCATTAGCCCCGGCAAACAAAAATAAAGTAACAGTCTTAATTTCATTCTTCAAATCGCTCAAAGTCCACAAACTGAACTTGTTGCCCTTCTGCGAAGTTTTTTGAGCAGTTTTATTAACGATAACTCCAGCTATTACCCAGTCTTTATCTTTGGTTTTGATTTGTAAGAATCTAGATAGTCCCATGAAATTCACGGCTTGTCGGCCCATCATACGTTCTTGTAAAGCTGTGGATGATATTAGAGGGTTGATAATACGTAAACCGAATATAGGATCAGTATAAACATCATTTTTGACTCCTAGATCGGGTGGTTTTACAAGAGGTTTCTTAGGATTGAGCTTTGTATTATTTGTAGTCAATTTTGGGGGATCTTTCCACGAAGATAGATGAGAAACCCTTTTAGCATCAGTTCCTATCGATCCAATTTTAGTACTAGAAGAATTTGGTGTGTCCAACAATCTTTTAATGTCTCTACCATTTTCTGAATATTTCCTTTCTTGCCAATGCCTGTTGTCTTCCTCGTCAGAAGAATCTGTGTCTCCTGAGTTTATTAAAGCTTTCGTTGGGTTTGAATTGAATGGAACTGTTGGTATATTACTTTCTTGTTCGAAAAGGTTAGTTTCTTTTAACGTTTTTGTTGATTTATCTGCTTGTTCTACTTCCTCAAAAGCCGCTAATAATAAATCTAGAGGATCACAATTTTCAGTCATTTTACTTGTATCTTTTTTCTTGTTTATACACGTACATGTTTTTGTTAAAAAACTGTCGATCGATAGATTCGCGCTTTTTTAAAATTGACAGCACTGTCACGAAAACAGGTCAGAAAATCCGATAAATATAAAAACCCTAATTGTTTCTAACAAAGAAAATACCAGAAATAAATAAGAATCAGTGTAATCGAGGATGATTGTTATAAAATAAGTACTTACGATTCTGTTTTTGGCGATCTCGTCGAAAGTCAGGAAGGAAAATATCTTTTCCACGGCGATTTCTGGAAGATACAAAATTAATGGTGTTCCAGTCATTTTTTTTCTGATTGTTCACGAATATATGCACAAAATTCTTTTACGATAAGTTGCCTTGCTTGATGGTCACTAAGTACACATAATAACGAGTACGATTACAGCTTTCAATTAGTCAATTATTTATAAAAATCAACAACCAAAACAAACATTGACAAAACCATCTGATAAATTCATTGACCTTCTGTCTATTGTCAGAAATGTCATATTCTTCTTTTTTGGACCAGTCAGTTCGTCAGTCCTCCGCGTAGTTGGTCAAATAGTTGGATACGAGGGTGATGTGATTTCTTCTAAAAATAATGATCACGTTTAATTTGTTAAAACATGAAGACCAATATTAAAACTGGCCCGAACATGAAGAGATCCGGTATGATTTGCATTAGGCATTACTGCCTTACAGTAGCGACTCGTAGCGTAGTCTACGGGGGGCTATTTTTGAAAGGAACTTAAGTTAAAATAGTATAAATTCCAGGGGCGGCTACTCTTTAAGGCCGCATGGTCGCGCGCCCCCCTCAGTTATAACTATAATCATGAACAGATAAAAAGCAAAAATCAAAATTTTAAATGAAAGATTTTATCCATCCTACAAGAAGTCATTACTTACTTCGTTTTCTTGTTGTCACCGCATTATTATTATTTGTTTATGTATGTGAAATTTGCTTTTAAGGTTTATAAAATACTACTGTGCTAGTCACGGCGTAAATGAAAACAAACAAGACGCATTCACACAAACACCTCCCACCACAGCAATATGACGTTTCGCGTGTATATAATTTTTTGATTTGTGTACACTTTAGCGTGTACCTAGCAACAGCGTTAAAATATCTTGTCTTATTAGACATTCCAAACTGAATGGCTACCAGTGGGTTTTGACAGGTTATGATATGGCAAAATTATGGCAACCCTGTAGGCCTGGTGATTTGACAAGGTCAATGATATAGATAGTTACATAGATTGATCATCCATATTTTTCAAAATAAACATAAGCTTATGCCCTGAAGTAAAAATGTAAGCAGTTATTATTTTTTAAATATCTAAAGGCTGAAAATTGGTTTTAAAACACATTTTTGCTAAATCGATTCAAATTAATAAATATTTGCCAGGCAATATGGCCGCTCGCAAACGACCAGCTTTGAGCAATCTATATAACTATTATGTATCATTGACCCTGTTAATGACAACATGACAACAGGGTTGCCATATCTAAACTGTCAGTACCCACTGGTAGCCATTTGGACAGGTCGTTGGAATGCCTAATTGACTTTATAGATCATTTATTATAAACTCTATTATAAATAGGACTGTGAATAGGTAAACATATTGAAATAAAAAGAGAAAAAACAGCTAAAAAACTAAATGAGTAAAATGTCAACTACACGAGACACACGAGTAGCAACGGAAAGCGAGGAACATCGAACATTATAAAATGAGGACTGATTCCACCGTTGTGTTAAACGAAGTTTAAAATGACATTTTTACATTAACAATGTCATTTTAATATCCGTTTAACACAACGGTGGAATCGGCCCTAAACAAATAACTCTAAAAAACTTTAAATTTCAAATTCGTTGATGTTTGCTTTCGTTGTCGTTCAGAAATTTTGGGCCATTGAGAATTACGCTAGAGTAACCTAGGCAAACGATCTAAGGGCCGATTCCACCGTTGTGTTAAAAGAAGTTTAAATTACCAGACGAAGATTAAAATGACATTGTTAATATAAAAATGTCATTTTAATCTTCGTTTAGTAATTTAAACTGTGTTTAACACAACGGTAGAATCGGCCCTAAGAAAATTAGTCTACACCTGAACGTGCCGATTTCAACGTTGCTGCAACAGTTGGATAAAAAGACATTCACCTCTATTCTGTAACAATTCCTTTATATTTAAAGGCCTTTAAAAATATTGGCGGCCTTTAAAAATATTTTCGTATTCGTTATTTTTTTTAAATATAAAGGAATTGCTACAGAATAGACCCCATTTTACGTTATCCAATTTACATATGGATACGTAATCTATATAACTATTTATATCATTGGTCGTACCGGTCAGACGTTTTACGTCAATTTCAAGTGTTTTGTTAGGTTGGAATTTCGATGACAGTTCACAAGTGATGTAAATAAAATAATTTTTTTTGAGTAATATTTTAAATTTTTTTGGAGATATTTAATCATGGGCTTATCCAGACAAGAGGTAAACTTGAGAAGGCTGCTAGCGAAGTGCGAATTAATGTGTAAGAGCAGAAAAGAAGACGACAGGATCGAAAAATATGTAGAAACTCTAGAAGATATGTTGCAAGAAGTAAAAAAGTTGACAGAGTAAGTTAATTAAGTAATTATAATAAAGATAATATTCAAAGTATTCTTATTTAGTACGCAATTGTTTTTAATTATTTATATACGCTATAAGTTGCTTCATTTTAAGGTCCAGTGAATCGATAAATAATTATTATAAAAGGATTAAGGATATCAAAATTGTACTAGGAATAAGTACAGATAAATACAAAGATGAGCAGAATTTAGAAAGCCTGAGAAATGATTTATTAGGTATTAATATCTTATGCGATTTTAAAGAACACTTGTTTTTATTAAACTTGTTTTTAGGATTAAGGCATAGAAATGTAGACAAACCCTCTCTGACTGGTTCCGGTGATTTTGATAAAGTCATAGAATACCATGAAAGCATGCAAAGCAAAATTACCGAAGACATGTTGTCTTTAACCAGAACTTTAAAGGAGCAATCGGAGACTGCTAACAAAATTATTAAACAAGATACAGAGGTATTTGAATTTAATTACTAATTTTTAATGCATTTTTTGAATAACTTGGACCTTTTTTTAGGTAGTATCCAAGTCTACTGAACTTACAGAAAAAAACTTTGGTAAACTCACAACAGAATCTGCTAAATTGGCGGAACATTCGAAAAGAGCCTGGAAATGTTGGATGTGGATTTTGTTGGCTATAGTAGTAGTTATTTTTATTAGTAAGTTTTTAATGTTTACCCTTTTCATACGATTATTTTATTAAGTTTGATTTTTTTTTAGATATGGTTCTTTTTATGAAATTGATGAAGAAAAGATACTAAATAAAAGTGGTAAAAGAAATTTACATGTTGCTATTTATTTATATATTTATAATAAATTATATGCCAATAATTTTTCAGATTTATTTTTATGTTATTATATGTATCATGAGTGAGTTTCCATTGAGTGAGAAGTTAATATCATTACAACATTCTTTTCTAGTGATAAAAGTAAGTAAAATATCTAATATGTATTTTATACAGGTACTCGGATATTTATTTAAATTGCAAAATGATGTATCGACAGATATAATAGTTTTCATTTTTAATTTGTTTTTTGAAAATATATATAAAATCGTTCGTTTAGTCAAAAACCCTATTTTTTACATCTCAATACATCTTCACATTTAAAATATAAAAAATCTGATGTGTCCAACATATGACTTTCCTATCTAGTTCTTACAGACTTTAAATACTGGTATGGTTCAAATGAAAGGAATAAATTCATTATAATGGAAGTAGGTGGTTTTTCGAAAAAATGCTCAGACAGGTCAATTTTGTTTACTAAAAGCGCAATTTTTTAAATAGAATTTAATTTTCCCCCACTTCCCATTTTTGGGCAGTGACGTCACTGACAATTTTTTTAAATAGTAACCCCAATTTTTTTTTTCTTGATTTTGATAGATCTTGCAATTTCCTACTCGGAAACATAATATTTGAAATATCTGACATAACAATTTTTTTTGAATAAAAATCATTTAAAGATCAGATACATAAATTTTATTTTGAAACACAATAAATGAATAAAAGATTATTTGTAATTAATTGCTTCATCTAAAATAATAATAATAATAATAATAATAAAAAGATCCCAGACAACACACCAAATCCCAGAGATATCCACAGAATATCTTTTGTGGATATCCAATATATCCACAGGATATCAGAAATATTCCGTGGATCTAATATGGATATCCAAATGTCCGTCTATATCCAAAATATAGAAGATATCCTATGGATATTCAGCAAAATATCTAATGAGTATCTTCCAGACAATACAAGAAATCCCAGAATATATTTTGTGGATATCCAATATGGATATTGAATTCAGATATTCAGCAAAATATTTTATAGGTATCTTTAGATTTGTATCCTTGGCGCATACAGCATCAAGTCATAACCAATGACAACCTCTTAGATTCAAACGGCAGTCTTCCGCGCATCCTGAATTTGTATCCCTGGAGTGGATATTATTTTGGAACATTCAACTGGTCCAAGTGAGTTAACTGATTTTTTAGCAATAAACTGTGATAAGGGCACTAAGGAAAAAGTCATCCTTATTAGAACTCTTCAGCAATAAATGGAAATTCTCGACTCCAGTCTCTAATGGAGTCTGATTGTCGAAAAAAATTCGATCGAACTCATTTACGGCGGGTTGAGGATGAGTAGATACGAAAGTGGTATCGACATCTATACTTAGGAAGCAAAATCAAAAATTACATCTAGTAGATATCCACGATGGTTTGCGTCCGCGCTTAGACTGATATATTTATAGTGGATGTCCATAGGATATTGAATACACCTTAAAAAAATTAATTTTAAATATCTGAACGGTACTATTAGCCACAATGGCGTAATTTTTTAATAATTTGCTATATAATTACTATTATTTACGGACATTTGCATGTCTATAAATTACATTTCATGGATATAAAATAGATATCCACCATGGACTGGACATTCAGTGGATATTGGGATGTTCAGTAGATATCCAAAGGATTTGGTGTGCTATCTGGGGAATTTAATGACAATTTCACAAATTCTTTTTTATTATTATTATTATTAATTATTTTGTTAGATTAAGTACTTAATTACAAATAATTATCTTTTATTCATTTATTGTGTTCTCAAAATAAAATAAAATTTATGTGTCTGATCTTTAAATGTCTTTTATTCAAAAAAAATTGTTATGTAAGATATTTCAAATATGTTTCCGAGTAGGAAATTGCAAGATCTATCAAAATCAAGAAAAAAAAATTGGGGTTACTATTTAAAAAAATTGTCAATGACGTCACTGCCCAAAAATGTGAAGTGGGGGAAAATTGAAGTCTATTTAAAAAATTGCTCTTTGATTAAACAAAATTGACCTGTCCGAGCATTTTTTCGAAAAATCAACTACTTCCATTATAATGAATTTATTCCTTTCATTTGTACCATACTGTATAGCTGCTAATTAGTATCTCAGGCACTTTGGGATAAATACCTACTTACTTTGTATGTATATTAATGATAAGTACTTGTAATAATCTGTAAATGAAGCTGACCTTGCGTACTATAAATATATTTACCCCAAATATTGGTTGAAATAAATAAGTATATAAGGTATCGACCAACGAATATACCTTCTAATATTCCTAAATTTTTATTTCATAATTTGTATTTAGACTTTACGTTAAACAACTTTGTCCTATAAATTTTTTCGTAAAAAATAAATAATGGTACTTTGAAGCATTTTAATACGTTCCTTAATTTATTACCATTTTCTCAACAAGTAGAACTTTTTATAAAAAATGATTTTTGTATGTAAAATGAATAACGATTTTTTTTCTATTGGGTACCCCCATCCGCGGACTACAAAAAAACCTTTTCTGAGCTATCGTTTTCGTCACCGCTACCTTCATCAGACACAATTTGATCTGCTTTTCACATGAGAAAAGTTTTTTCTTCTTATTTGGTTTTTCGTTCTTCTCGAGGGCTTACTGTCTGGTCGAGGTCTTTGGACCGACCGACGCCCCAAACCGAGCCCCAAACTGTTTACAATAGGTTGTAAAAAATAACCGGAAAAATCCTGTAATACTTAGTTAATCATCATATTTTTCTTGAATTGGCGAATCAAATTTTTCGAAACATATTTTTTTTTTTTTTTTTTTGAAAACTCAATGATAATTTTTTCAATAAAAAAAAATATTTGGTGAAACTTTTTTTAAAATTATTGATAATATGTCGATAAATTTTTTTCTCATATATTTTTTTCAGGGATATTGGAATTAAAACATAAAAATACATAAAATAAAGTATATTTTATCAATTATCATCACAATTTATAAACATATATACAAAATCAACAATTTTATCAGTTTTCGTCAAATAAATTACAATTATTATTATTAATACCATTAGAATTTTTTCATGAATATAGTTTGTTTTAATATTTTTGGGGTATAGCTACCCTTTTTAAATAATAATTAAATATAATGTGTTTCATGAAAAAAATATTTTATAATAAACAGTTTGATAACGTATGATATTTTTATTAAAACATAAAAATATATAAAATAGTATATTTTATCAATTATTATCAACAATACATTATACAAAATCACAATCAGCTTTTGTTAAAAAATTACTTTTACAGTAAATTACCTAATTCATAACACAATTACTATCTCTCCTCCTATTCCTACACAACAATTTTTCAGCCTTTGACTTGATATATTCAGTACTAGGCATATAAAAACAAGTACCTCTAAAATGTACCACGCTACTTCCAGAACTGCTTCCGCTTGAATTATTAGGTTGAGCCGTATATACAGGTCTGTATCTACTCGGACCCGACATCACAAAATGTCCACCGATGAAGCCTTTGGGTCTTAAAGTTCCCCTTATCTGGGGTTCAAAGGGCCTTGTCATAAGGTTTGAGAAAAACATTTGATAGCCTACGAATTCGGGCGAAGAGTACGACATCGGGGGTAATTGTTCAATAGGTTTAGGAGATGAAGATCTAGCGGGCCTTTTTGACATGGTGAGAAGAGAGAGCCGCTCTTGGATGTGGTTGATCTAAAAAAAAAATGTAATGAGTTAAATATATCAATGAGATAAATATACCAATAAGTTAAATATATCAATAAGTTAAGTTAAATATATCAATGAGATAAATATATCAATGAGTCAAATATATCAATGAAAATATAATTTATAACCATCGTAACGTAACTTATCGCCGTAGAAACTTAATGTAAGATATAAAAATAATGTCAATTTATAAATGTATAAGAGTGGAGCATGGGTGTTGTATTTCAGAGATTTTTAAATTACTGACAACCTCATGAAATAAACAAGTATAAATTAATTACCTAAACTCCAAATAAAACCCATAAATTAAAATTTTGCCATAAGGATAGAAAGAATATATTAACTGCTTTAAAAGCAACAATATAAAAATATAATAAAACAGAATAGTTTATCCAAGATGTTTTTAAGCAATATGGAGAATTTAGTCTTTCCTAGAAAACTAGTTTTGTTTCTTGTTTCAGTTTATAAATATTTTATCCACATAAACACAAAACATTCATCTATATACCGGGTGTTCTAAATTAAAGCGTTACAGCTATATACGTTTCAGACGAAAGTTTTATAGTTTTGTAGGGAAAAACTTTTGGCTAAAATCGTTTTTTATAGCTAACCATAATATGGCCAATAAATTTTTTTTTATTAATTTTTAAAAATGAATAAAAATGAATAAATATAAAAAAATTTAAAAAATGAATGAAAATCAATAAAACTAATAAAAATTAATAAAAAAGGAAGTCATTATATTAATAACACGACAATATGCGGGCAAAGCCGCGGGCAATAGCTAGTGATAATATGTTCAAATGGTACCTATTTGTCCATTCATTTATAAAAAATATAAAAAGAAAAATTGACAGTTATCTCATGCTGAACTTAGAAATACCTCATTGGCCGACCGTATGTTAAAAGTTGGCGAAGTTTTAATGATACGTTAAGTTATTAAGTTACGTTACGGATGTTACTTATAAATTAGGTTTTTTTTTATTAAATATATCAATGAGTTAAATATACGTAGGACTTGGAAAAATGCATGCAAGTTAGACATTTCAACTGTTAAAGCGGTAAATAAGAACAAAAAACTAAATGTGCAATTCTGCTTTAAAAATACTAAAAAAATGTATTAAAACCCCTAATTTACAATAAAACTAGAACAACTATTATAATATGGATAAAAATTATTAAATTATTACCAAATTTCAGTGTTAAAACATTAAATAAGTAGAAAATTCTTTCAAAAATAGCAAGAGATCCTAATTAAACCTAATGTCAATTTAAATTTAA